GCCTGGTCACCCGGCAGGGGGGCCTGGGCTCGCTGTGTCACCCGTGGGCCGCGGTGCTGCCTCGCCACGCGTGGCCGCGCCGGGTGTGCCCCCGGTGTCACCCCTTCCCTGTGGCCCTTCCCGCGCCAGAGCGACACGCGTGGGCGGTGCTGCCCGGGGGTAAAACACCACACACACACACACAGCAACTAACCCAGCTGCAGGTTGCCATCCCTGAGGCACGGGGGGTGTGTGTGGGCTCTCAACTCTTGGAGGCAAGATCTGAATATTTTGTGAAGAGACCAGGCCGTTTTTAAAGGAGAAATGAGGAATAGATGCAGTGATGCTGGAGAGGCCGTGCAGCTGTTTGAGTTGTGTCTTGCGAATTCAGTGGAGCGTGAGTGGAATGGAAGGGGGGAAAGGGCAGCCAGGAAATAATGAAAACATCCAAGTGAGAGTCGGGTTGTCAGAGTTCTCTAGTGACTTGCAAAGAAGTGGTGGTCTCTGCGGTTTATACTGAGGGAGACTTGCCTCACTCTCTCTCACTCTGCTCAGTGTCTTTGGTAGGTGCTGAGGTCTTTGGGTCTTTGTAGATCTAAGGTAAGGAAGCAAAATGGTCCCTTGGATATCAGTTAAGTTCAATACCTCTGGTGGGGAGAAGGCCTGATAGCAAATTTGTAGGAAATGTTACACTCAATAGAGTGGTGTTAAAAACTTTTAAACTACTCTTAATGTAGCATTTGACCCAAGAGACATTTCCAGAATGGAAACAGCAGTTCTAGTGCATTCATACAGTTGCAGTTTTTGAGAGGGAGTGGAGAGCTCTGGCTTTTCTCTGGCAGCCTTTTGTGGTACAAGTGTTAACAATTTAGATGAAATGTAAGGGCAGTTTGAGGCATACAGCGTTTTGGATACATGGAAGTGGAGGCCCACCCAAAAATAGGTCCTGATGAACCCATCATGTGCTGAGGGTTGCTCACCAATGAGCTGAAACCCAAAACCCAAGAAATACAAAGCAGGAAAGGTTTCAGTGTATTTCAGATGCTCTTTACTTTCTTGGGTTTTTTTGTTTATAAAAGCAGTAGCTTTTTTTTGTTTTCTTTGCATAAGTTTGTGTGACATTTTCACCTCATTTGATTTGCTTGTGGCCAAAATAGTGTCACCTTTTCTTTGAAGAACAAGGAGATGTTTGAGGCTGCAGTGAAGATCATGAAGAGCCTGAACTAACCAGAGCTTTTGTCAAAATAAAGACAGGGAAATGTTTCTATATTCCCACAGCAGCATCGTACATTTGTAGGCAATAGTCTTTGTAACTTGCAGTGACTTCCTCCAATATATATTTTCTTCCTCATCTGCAGTCAATGATAACTGCAAATGATGTTATGCACTTGTATTACTATAGCCATTTAAAGGCCTATCTACTTTTTAAACCATTGACGTTTTAGGAAGACTTTAATTCAAAAATTGGATTTTTATGTTTGCGGACGTTGGCACTACCAGCAAATGTAATTGGCTTCTGGTGTTATTTGTCAGCAAAATGTTTCCATTTTAAAGGCTGGAATGAATGGGTTTTGGTAGGAGACTGAGAACAGTCTCACTTTTCGTTGGTAGCTTCTAAAAAAAAAAACAAATCCAAAAAATGTTTCTCCCAGTTAGGCTGCCACAACATCTATTTTTCAAAAAATGTTTACTCATCTGCTGGGATATTACAGCTATCTTTGAGGATCCAAACTCATCTACATTAGAGAACTCCTAGATCACTGTGGTTGTATTTCCTAATTTGGTGTAGTCCAGTTAAATTGATGCAACTACTTTGTCCATAAAAGGCTTGTGCTAATATAATTCATTTTTATTTCGTTTCTCATTTGTTAAATCTTGGCAATACTACCATTACAAGCTTCATATCAGAAGATAATCCTTCTGGAAAATAGGAATGATGCTTGCTTTTGTGTGATTTATGTTTTGAGTTTGATAGTCCCTCTCCTCTCAGAACAGGCTTTAAGCTTAGAGTCATTGCTGCTGCATTCCTAATCACACATTTAGTTTTATTACAGTAGTGTCCAAAGTGGCCATTATACTTAATTGTGCTTTTTCTGTCTTAAAAGATGATTGAATCTATCTGCCAAAATGCCTGTGGGCTGGAATTATGTGTAGTAATTTTCTGTGTAGAAGTAACAAACACTTGGAAATTTCATCTACAACAACCGTTGAATTATACACAGAAGTAATCCATTCCTCTGGATTTGGAACAACTGTTCCAAATCTAGCAGTTGTTCCAAATCTAGCAGTTGTTCCAAATCTAGCAATAATGATTTATTTCTATAAACTTTTATTTAGACAGCACGAAACTGCAGAAACCTTGTCATTAATCAGGAAGCAGCGTATGTGTTAAAATATGTAACTCCCCAGTAGCACAGAGAGAGAGGATCCTGCTGGTACATCTCCTAACTCTCTGGCTGGAACTTGATAATTAAAAATAACACCTGGCATTGCATGTTCCTGCTGCAGGGAACACACAAGGTTTATGCAAAGAAAGGGTCTTCCTCCTCATGCAGGCTGGCTGGTGTGTTGGTGTTCTGTCACATTTCCTAACTGGGAGGTCTGACCAACCTGCTGGATTTCCAGTTTGTCCAGTACATTCATGTGATTCATAGGAACTTGTTTGGCATAAACAGAAATAGTGTTGCTGAACGTGGTACCACTCATCTACTCCTTCTGTATCGTTTGGGAGTATTTAGAAAATACTAATGCTAATTTAAAATTCATCAGTATTTAAAAACAAACAATCCAGAGTAGGTGCCACTGTCAATTTACACAGGCTGGGCTGTGCCCTCCAGGAACTCTTGCATCCTTTAGAAAGGAAGAGCTTCTTTTTAAGCAGCAGCAAATGCTCAGCTCACACATCCCAGCTGGTGCTCTTTAACCCACTGTTGAGCCAGAGATGGGTTTGCATTGTTGGGAGCAGGCAATTTGCATGGGGCTCATAGTGCTTCTGTTCATTGTGTGGAGGGGGATCAAGACAGGTGGAGAAAGGAGGAGGAGTGGTGAAAGTTGAATGAGATAGATACCCAGAAGCCAAACTTTTTTTTTATTTTGCATTTTATTTGCTGAAATAGACTGTTGTATCTTTTGTGCTCCTGTGAATACGTGCCCATCTGCTCCAACATGCTTGTAGTTACTCCTGGTGCCTGTTCAGCTGTTGGCATGTTCAGCACAACTGAAATTCTCCATCAGCTGCCCCATCCTCCTCCAAAGACAAATAAAGGTCAAGCTAAATTTCAGAAGCATGTAACTGTCAGTCAGATCTTGAACTTGATGAAGCTTTCATGCTCTTTGGTATAAAAGCAAGATTAATTTTAGTGTTTTTTAAAGTTTATTAATACTTGGGAATTGTGGTGTACCTCCAAATTCTGCCCACAGCTGTTTTGATTTAGCTTAGCTTTAAAAAGTAACTGTCTGAGGAGTCTCTTGGAGCAGTGCTCCCTTAAAGTGGTTGCTGCAGCAGAGCATGGCTCAGAAAGATAAGTTCCTAGCAGAATGAGAAGGAAAACCTATAAATGAATTGAAAGCTTTTATTGAAGTTATATAAGCATATTTATAGAAATATTCTAAACTCTTGTGGTTATTGCTGTGAAGCATTTCTAAAGGAAACTTGCAGTGATGTTTCAACTCATCTGTTTGGTGCTTTGGTTAAAGCTCATATTTTTTTTGAGGTCTGTCTTACTTATTTCTGTACAGCACTAAAAGATAAAGGTAGCTTTCAGTAGAGATTGTGACAGCCCTGGGTTGTCTGCAGTTCTGGAGGTATTGATAAAGCTCCAATTCAAGATGCATCAAATTTATGGGTTTATGATTGACAGCCATGTGCATGAGTAACTTTGGATTATTTTTATTCAGTTTTATGTTTCTTGCATGCTTTATTATAGGAGCTTAGCTAATGGGAAAAGTGTTAGGTTGGCCCCTGTTTCATCCTCCTGGATTCAAGAAAGCATCTTCAGCCCTGGAACTGCAAAGTGTGTGCTGGGATTCTTCTTTGGGTGTCTTGAAAATACTGATGCAGCTAAGAAAAGCAGGGAGGTTTTAGTTATTTTAAAAATCAGCAGCCTGCATTACACGTGAGGAGAGAAATGAATAGCAAATGAGAATCGACCAAGGGCTTGATTTTTATGCCATTGGAATCCCTGGGAGTTGTGCTGCTGTTTTCTAAGGGAAGCAGGGTAATCCATCAGCTGGGATCCATGATCATTTCTGCTGAAAGCTGAGAGATATCTTTGTTTTCAGAATGGGAATCTGCAATTAGAGTTGGTGTGCTGGATTGTGGGGAAGAAGAGAACTATGAGACGTGCAAAGAATATGGAATTCACTATTACCCAACTTTCAGGGTAAGTGGCATCAATAAGTTGCCTTAGGTAAAGGATGGGCTTTGTAGTAACTAAAACCATAACAAACTTGTTTGCACAGAGTGTTAGATGTAACTAGTTGTTCTTCAGCTGGACTTTTGCTTTGCTGTTGGTGAGAAAGCTGCAGGGTTGATAAAAGATTAGTTCAAGTTCTTGCTGAACACAATACCTGATGCAGTTGTTTGTAGTAGTAATTTAGTCCTCAGTTCTGAAGCTGGAAAATTCTAATTGAAAGCAGGTGTCATTCTGGAAAATATTATGTTGTTACATAACACCTAACACCTAGTTTTTCAAATTCAAATGTTCATGATTATTAACAGCATTTTAATTTTAGTGTGTGAAAATAAAGGTAATACATTGAAATGGCGTAATGAAATCAGCTGATTCATAGCTCCAAATAGCTCCAAATAAAAGTCTACCCTTGACTTATCCTACACTGTTTTTCTGATTAATTAATAATTTGCTTAAACTGGCTTTTTAAATGGATCCTGTGTTTGCCAGAAGTATCTACCATTGTTCATCTAAGAGTCTAAGTGCAATTTTTACCTTCTCTGTTTTTGTCAATCTGTACAATCACATTATTGACCATAAGAGTGTGATGGATGGAGAGGATCTAATAAACTGTGTTTGTTCCAACAGGAGAGGGAGCAGGAGACATTTTGCTGTAGAACTTGTGATGTTCTACCCAAATAGAATAAACAATTATAATTATATGTTTTAATCTATAAAGTTTTGGGTGTGAATTGAAGTGCACTCTTTATTAAGCACTGATTCTTTTCTGTTTTATTTTTTATAGCAGAAGGGAGCCAAGCTCCATTATATATCCTGTTTAACCACTGGAGGGAGTAGGGA